ATATGAAGAGATTTATTTTATTTGTGTTATTTATTTGATTTGGGGCTTGTTTTAAATTTTCAATTTAGTTTTGTTATTTACATTTACATTAATTTTAAATTTTGATATTTAGCAAACGCTTTTATTCAAGGCGACTAACAAATGAGGACAATAGAAGCAATCAAAACCAACAAAAGAGCAATAACATGCAAGTGCTATATTAGTATATTAGTATATTATTATAGTGTTATATTTCACTTTCACAAAGAAACGTACAGTATTTTGTCCAAGCAATAATAAAAGGACACATTTAATTTATAATTTGTCTTAAATCTCATTTTGTAAAAAAAAAATTGTGAGTTGAGTGAATCGTTACATCCCTGATAGATAGATAGATAGATAGATAGATAGATATGATTTTTTAAATTAACATTAGAAATTAATACTTTTTTTCACCAAGGACACATTAAACCAAAAGTGACAGTAAAGATGCTTAAAATGCAACAAAATATTTATATTTCAAATAAATGCTGATCTTTTGAACTTTCTAATAATCAAAGAATCCTGAAAAAAGTGTACCACCGTTTCAACAAAAATATGAAGCAGCACAACTGTTTTCAACATTGATAGAATTACATTTGAAAATGGATCAAAATAGAAATCTGTTATTTTAAATTGTAATAATATTTCATAATATTACAGTTTTTTTCTGTATTTTTGATCAAGTAAATGCATCCTTGGTGAGCATAAGATACTATTTTAAAAAGACACTAAAAAATCTTACCAACCCCAACATAATGAATACGACATGCCCCGTTTCCCTTCATTTGGCAGCTGAGCATCTAGTGCGAAACAGCCTTTGCAACATTATGGTAAATGTATTTAAACAATCCTGAAAAAAAAATATCTCAGTTTCCACAAAAATATTAAGCAGCACAACTGTTTTCAACATTGATAATAATAATAATTTTAAAAATTTTTTTGATGACCAAATCAGCATATTAGAATGATTTTTGAAGGACTATTTGACACTGAGGGCTGGAATAATGATGCTGAAAATTCAGCTTTGAATCACAGGACCAAATGTGGAAAAATGATCAACATGACTCACCACTGTTGTTGCGACCCTCTCTTCTCAAACCACACAGCATCATGGGAATATCACGATTCCATTCTGCCTCACATCAGTTTAGGAACTAGCTAAATTGACCAAACCGTTTGTTAAAGCGCACACCTGGGAATTAACATCTTACCCTATCCAATTAAGCTACATTACATGTGTAACTTCAGTTAGGATTCCTTAGAGAATGAATCAAGCAGACTAGATTCAGCGACCTCAAATAGTTTTATCTATAGCTGATCCTGTTGCACAGATGATGTTCAATCCATACAGGCAGACTACACAAATCATATAGAATTCCAGTTTTTTACATTAATGTATGCAGATCAAATATATTTCTTTCTGCAGGTCCATGTGAGCGACAGTCAGAGTGTAATGCATGAAAGAGCGACTGAAAAATTGTTGCATAGCTGGAACTGGATTATTCCTGAGACATTCCAGTGCCACTCCAGTTTGCTCTTTCCAAACAGCATAGCGTGGTCTCCTCCGCACATGCAACTAGTCTCCAGTCAGTCATCCATAAAACACGTGTGATCCGCTCGCACAGATTCAGTTCTGGGTTTGCAGCGTGAGCCGAAGCAGATGGTAGTTTATCCAGCGATGACAGTGCTGCAGTATGGGAATGTATCTGAACGCTCCGGTGCTTCAAGATCAGACCCGGACAGAACACACACTCACTCCTTCTCTCCTCTCCTCCCTCCTTTCTGCCACTCCTCCCTCACTTCTTGAGCTTCCTGCGCTGGCTTATTAATCATCTCTGTTCACACACGCAGTCTTGCACTCTGTGCCTGAGAGTATCTTCCTACTGGCAAGCAAACGTAGATATTAAACACACAGCCAAACCCCCTCACTACTCTCTCAGCCCCCCTCACGCACAAACACTTCCTCCTCCTGTCTGTCTCCCTCTCACATGCCCCGTTTCCCTTCATTTGGCAGCTGAGCATCTAGTGCGAAACAGCCTTTGCAACATTATGGTAAATGTATTTAAACAATCCTGAAAAAAAAATATCTCAGTTTCCACAAAAATATTAAGCAGCACAACTGTTTTCAACATTGATAATAATAATAATTTTAAAAAAAAAATTTGATGACCAAATCAGCATATTAGAATGATTTTTGAAGGACTATGTGACACTGAAGGCTGGAATAATGATGCTGAAAATTCAGCTTTGCATCACAGGAATAAATTACATTTTAAAGTATATTAAAATAGAAAACATTTATTTCAAATTGCAATAATATTTTCCAAAATTACCATTTTTACTGTATTTTTGATCAAATAAATGCAGCCTTGGTGAGCAGAAGAGACATTTTACAGCCAAGCATCTCGTGTGAAACAGCCCTGGTAAATGTAGTTTCATTACCATCAAATCACAGTCATCAAAAATTAAAACAAAATGATGCACCAGATGGTAATAGCACGGTACTGATCTACAAGATATAATATATAGAACATAGATGCATAGAATATTAATATATATGACTTATCTACTGTATATTATTTATAGTATTTCAACTAATACTATGGTAACACCATGACAAATCAAACATAATTTCAGTAATCTTTTTTTTTCTAATGCTATAAATAACATGGTAGATGAATTTCAGTGCTATGATATAGATCAAAGTACCATCTGATACCATCACAACATCGAGGTATTATTACTTTTTTACTCCTTTGTACTTCCATGTTATTACCATGAAAAATGCTAGTACCATGACTTGCAAACTTAATATTGATATGTGAATGTTATGACTTCCTACGCAACTATCTGGAATGCTTGATTCTGATTGGACAATGGTGGCATTCTGACGTTAAATAATTTGATATAATGACTACTAATTTGTGTATTTGACTGTTGTCATATTTAACTGACATACACTGTATATCTGCCATAGCTGTGCTCTATTTCTTCTTACATAATAAAATAATCAATATTTCATAAACATTTTCAAAATTGCTACTACAAAATAAAGGATTAAATATCCTGTTCCCCCTTGTCAGATTTTAATTAAGAGATAATGACAGAACATTATCCCTTACATAAACAGCATTTTAGAATCAAATATATGCATCTATTCCTCATGTTGTACAGTACACTGAATGTAAGCCATACACTTTACTGGCCATTAAAGGGATAAACTAAGAGCAAGTCTGTGCAAATCTGCTCTCAGATTTAATTTTTGGGGGTTGGTGGGGCTATTTCACCCACTACTAGAGTTTTGTCTTACGTTAAATAACTGCAAAGCTGAATTTTCAGCATCATTACTCCAGTCTTCAGTGTCACATGATCCTTCAGAAATCATTTTAATTGTGATATTCTATATAATCATTTTTAAAATTTAAAATGTAAAAATTTTTGCTAAGAAATATGCTGACTTATTAAAATATTCAACTAGCAAACTGTCCTTTTCAATTGTAATAATATTTCACAATATTACTGTTTTTACTGTATTTTGATCAAATAAATGCAGCCTTGGTGAGCATAAGTGACTAAAGACATTTAAAAATATCTTAATGACTTAAACATTTTGACTGGTAGTTTACGTTTCAGTTTATGAGCACGTATCATGATAATAATACATCTAACCTACGTGCATTTATTTTAAAGAAATATAGCACATTTCAAGCAAAAAAATAAGTTAATAAAGTGTGAAATTATTAATAAAAATTCAAAATAACTGATAATCTGTAATCTAATGTGGTGAAATTAATAAAGTACAAATACTGAGTGGGTTCACTGTAAAGGACTGCAGATTATTTGAAGTAATTTTAAACTATACAGCCACCATGTGGCTGAACACTGTTTTGCAGGTCACTTTAGCTGACATAGGACAACAGATCTTGCATTCATTTCTCAGACCCACACAGCCAAGAAAAAAAAAATGACACACATAATAACTTCAGCATGACTGTTCATGAAGTACACAGCACCTGCACATACAATTCACCCTTTACCTGTACAAACATCAGCACACACTCACCTTATGCACCTTCTCTTATGTCTTACCTTTAACCCTTCCTCTGATAACTCCAATCCGACATCGTAAAGAAAACGAGAACATCTTCCTCTTTCCTTTGACTCCTCCAACCAGTCCTTTCTTCATGGTCGCCAATGTCAAATATATAACATAAAGGTATAAAAAAAAAATCAAGCAGAATTCTTAGGACTAGTGTATTTTAATAAGGCAGGCCAGGTTGTCACATGGTTCATAATTAACAAAATATGTTTGCCAAAACATTGGTTTCATAACACTTCATAATAAGGTTCCATTTGTTAACATTAGTCAAATACATAAAACTACAACTAAAAAATCTTCTGAAGCACATTTACATTTATTCATCTAGACGCTTTTTTTTTACTTACACTTGAGGAAAACAAGAAAAGATTTTGCTGTTTCATTAAAGTTTTTTTTTTTTTTTTGCATGCAGTCAAATGTTGACGGGAGAGATGAGGTTTCAGCTGTTGCTTGAATTTTCAAAGTTAATTTAAAAATGTATTAATACATTATAAAAATCAAAAGTTGTATCCGTTCATATCATTTAATGGAGCTAACGTGAACTAACAATAAACAGTTGTAGCTAATCTTAAAGATTAATAAATTCTTTAACAAATGTAGGCTATTGCTCATTGTTACTTAATGCATTAACTAACATTAACTAATGGGAGCTTATTGTTAATCGTTACCTATTATTTTTGTTCCATATTTGCTATTTCATTAATCATTGTGTTTCATAATAGATTTACTGTTTAAATGTAGCCAAAAGATGATAAACAGGTTCACATTGTGACAATTAATGCCATATCGTGAAAAATAATCCAAAGAATGCAAATATGTCCAAAACGTCCTTCTGTTTACCATCATTTCTATTCAAGGATATATAAACACGTGAAATCCTGAATACCGAAAATGACTTTAAAGAAAGAAAAAAGAAAAGAAAAGAAAAGAAGAAAAAAAAGAAAGCACCTCACTTGTGTAGCTTTGGATGAATGAACAAGTGTAAAAGGTGTGACAACTAGCCCCTGTTAATATTTAGTAGTGACGGGACAATTGATACCGCAGCTCCGATGCAGTTTTCAAAGCACTATTGTATCACACACCGTGCCGATGAGGGCTGTCAATAGGACATTTAATCATGTTTATAACTCGGGTCTCAGAGACCCCGAACACAGCATAAGGATATAACAGCTCACCCAAAATATTTTTTGTTCAGCTACCCACGTCAATTATTAATTATGATCACGTTTGTGTATTTTATATTATTTATCGATATGTGAATCCGTTGACCAAGCTATAGGCTACATGACACGAGTTGTGGTCTCATTGGCACAAATTAATTTAGATGAGATTATATCAGATTAGATACTGTATTGATCCCAGATTGATTCCACTCTTGAATGTCACAGACTTCCGAAACTTTGTTTGGTCACATGCTTTTTCAAGCCATCCTCTGCTCCGCGATGATTTGTCAGTAATGGTGGAGAAAACAAGTCTGACAACCAGATGTCGCTAATGCACACGGTGTTAAAAGCTTCGAGTAATGAACCGTTTTTCGGCACAATTTCATGAAAGCCTCAAACCCTTCAGAAAGCCTCGGTTTCCCATCACTAGTATTTAGAGTACCGTGGATTTACTATCTAATATCATCACTGTATCATGGTGCCACATACGGCCTATAGGCTATGTTTCTAAAAGTAGCTACTCCTCTCCTAAAGTAAACCGCACTCTCGGTTTCTCTTTCTGGTTCCTCGTTGTCGCCTTCATCAGCAGGTGGTTTTTGTAACGTCAGTATGAAACTAGGAAGCCCCGAAAGGGCTTTTGCATTCGCTCTTATAAGATTTGCGAGTTTTGCGGAGTTTACATAGTTTCTCTGTGGAACGCAAATACAAGGTTTTCCTCATATTTAATTTCTATCAGCATGACGAGTCCCTCTAGCGGCTCTGTATGAAAGCGACACAAACATACTCAACTAAACTGAAACTGCACTTTGCTTTTGTGACACACGCGTTACGAATACGAATATTCCGAGGTTTACACATTTTTATATACAATGCACGCCTGTGTAGACTGAGCAATGGCCTATTGTTGACCTCCCCCCGCACTTATGAGGGGAGTCATTTACGAAATAACAATCACATGATGATTACAGAATAAGGAAGCTGTTCAGGAACTCTTACTTTTACTTCTCACTGCGTTTGCAAAATGGAGAGACCGACTGCGAGGTAAGTAAAAAAAAATTACATTTGTCATAACCGATATTTACATTGTTTGTGTTTTGAAAAATGCTCAAGCTGACTTCATTAACTTCCTCTGAAGTGACTATGGAGCTAACTACGGCACCGTTAACCCGGTCTATGGAATACCAGCACCAGGTAAGAGTTTGTTGTGACATTTACACAATCTCAGATTTCCACAGGACGGCACCCCATGACTACTTTTTCAAAGCTAAATTAGTACCAAGTTTCTGCTTAACGGTATTCAAAACAACGCTTTTTTTTTTTTTTTTAGTGCAGTTAGTATGCAGTATTAATATTAGTATTAGTATGCAGTACTTGTTCTATAAAAATGTACAATGGCAATGCAAGTATCTGCAAAAATACCATAGGTACAGTTATCCTTACTATACAGTATTTACAAAAAAATATGGTACTCTCAAAATTTACAATTGCACTCCGGTGTTATGGATCAACTTAAATATAATACATTTATGAAATTTGCAGATTTTATAATTCCAGGCATGCAAAGTCTATTTACAGTACATTAAATATGCAAATTAATGATACAATTGCAATAGTTTATATATTTTATTTAATACATGCTTTATTTAACATTATTGACAAGGGACTGCCTGAGTAAACAAGAAATAAAAAAACAAACAAATAAATAACATTATGAATCTGAGTAATTTATTCTTTATTCAAATATTTGGGTCAATAATATGAACCCATACATCCACGTCAGTGGCAATATTTGCACACAAATTGGAAATGTCCTTAGCATCTAGTCATAACAGATTGCATACATTTGTGTTTGTCTTCTTCCTGGAACACACTGCTCCGGGTGTGTGTGTGTTCACTACTGTGTGTGCGCACTTGGATGGGTTAAACGCAGAGCACAAACTCTATAGATTTATATGGATATGACACTACGTAATGAGCTTATGAAACTTTACACATTTACAATTACTTACTATATTATTATTTACTATTGCTCCACGAGGTCTGAAATATAAATTGTCACGATTAACATCCTCCACATTTCATTTCATTTAACTTCCTACCGTATTGGAGAGAAAAGAAGTAGCACATTGATCTGCCAGCTGTGGGTCTTTATGCAGAGAACTCTGCTCAGATTTTTTGCACAATGATGCATTTAAAAGTTAACGGCCAAACAGATGTTTGTAAAAGTTCACATTGTTGTTGCCGATGAAATATAACACAGATAACATTAAATAAATCTTTTTTACCAGGTTAAATGTTGCTTGTTAGTATTTCAAACATCTGCCATGTTTGTAGTTTTTTAACGCTTTTTATTCGTATTTGTAGTTCTGAAGCGAATCCTTCGCCAAAGCACAATGGACTGTGGGAAATATTAGCCATTAGAGTGTGCACGAATCCAAAAAATCTGCCTGAAATCGTAGACCATCCGGGGACTTCTGGCATACTCTTTTCAACATACTATGCTTTGGGATACACTTATTCTAATCTCACATACTATTTAGGATGGATAGTATGAACATTGGGACGCAGGAAGATTTGCGACACGCTTTGATGTGGTTCGTGGAGCTCTCAATAGTTCCAAACAACTCCGCGCTGTCAGTATGTTTGAATGGGTTTAATCGGGAACAGATATAGAGCAGTTTCACTATATTTGCAGTAATTATGAACACATAATGTGCATTGATAACTACGCTTTACACTAGCATTTTATTCAAGGGAGTGATAAAGAGACAGCATTAATATGTTCTCATACTTTTTGGCAGTCAAATGTGACCAAACACCTTAAGTGTAACTTTTTTCGATTAAATAATTGTACTATATTTTAGTTCAGTTCTATTTATTTAATATTTTGAGGACAATTTTGGTAGGCTACTACATATTATTTGCACTATTTAAAGTGTAAAACGTTCTAATATGTTTATTACTTATATTACAATTAGTGTAGCATTTAGGGTTAAATAGAGATTTTTTTTTTTTTTTTATTCTAGTGCAGAGGCAAATTAGAGGCATTTGGTGGCCGGAAACATAATATTAATATGTAATGCCATGGTTTAACCACTAGATGCCTCTATGGCGGTTTAATAAGCTTACATGTGTTTAAAGCTTACATGCTAAAAAGACTATTGCCGGTCATAATTGGTTACTTATTTTTTTAGGTTTTGAATTTTTAATTTAGCTATATTTAGACATTATCAAACACTCGATTTTATAAGTTTCGATTTTTTTTTTTTTTTTTAATGTTACATTTAAAAAGGTTAATTACTTACATCCCAGTGTTATTTTATGATATTCACAAAAGCATACAACATAAGTGAATATTAAGAAAGGCAAGCAAATATGGAATTTAATCCAATAAAAAAATGTTTATAAACACAAATAAGTTTCGATTTTTTTTTTTTTTTTAATGTTACATTTAAAAAGGTTAATTACTTACATCCCAGTGTTATTTTATGATATTCACAAAAGCATACAACATAAGTGAATATTAAGAAAGGCAAGCAAATATGGAATTTAATCCAATAAAAAAATGTTTATAAACACAAAGCAACCAAATACATTCAGCGAAACTATTGTATTCCTTGAATGGGCAGTCTTCAATGAAACTCATTAAACCTCCTACAGGGAGAGAAAGATTGCAGAAAGACTAAAAACCTAAAAATATGACAACTAGCATCTGGTTATGTTCGCTATTAATGTGTTTCTCGCGTTATCTAACTGCAATTATAGTATAACTCTCTATCTAACTATAAACATTAATCATAACGCGCTTCATAGAATACCACCACTGGACAGATTTCCGAGAGGTCAACTAATGCGTTAAAATGTCAAACAATTATGTAATTTCTTCAACATTCTGGCGAGTGTGC